GAAAAATTGGTGGCGCCGGATTGGCCAGGCACTATTCTGACGTGAAATGGCTCAGGCGGAGAAAACGGGCGTCTCATTTGTAATCAGGACATCAAGTAACCCCAGTATGCAAGTTTATATCAGTTTTGGTGAGAAACCGATGGTGGAAGAGGAAAAAGGCGCCCAATGGCGCCAAGTGGCCGCACACCAAAAACGGAAGACATATTGGTGATCAAGGCACCCACCAGCCTCACAGACGGGGTTTTAGCTTATTTTCTCTGAGATACTGGGGTAATAATAGTTGATCAGTGCCAAAAGTTTCTTGGGCACTATTTACCCTTTACTGCCCCAATCTTCCAAAAACAGGCCAGTTTTTGACCGACTTTTTTCTGCGTTGGCAGAATTGGCTGAAAATTGTTCCCTGGGGTAGTTTGACCTCCTGAACATGAATATCACATCCGCTCGGCACGAAACCTCCTGGCGCCCGCGCTACAGGCGCCGGCGCCAGAATACCCCAAATCACCGGCGCCTGTGGCGCGGGCGCCAGGAAGTTTCGGGCTGAGCGAATGTGATATTCGTATTCAGGAGGTCAAACTACCCCAGGAGACAATATTCGAGCAAAATCTGTCCACGGAGAAAAAAAATTGGTCAAAAACTGGCTCAATTCTGGATGATTGGGGCAGTAAAGGGTAAATAGTGCCATTTCTTGTTTTCACATCACTTCTATTTCAATGCAAGATTCTGAGCGGAAGAAGAATGCATGGCGCATCATAAGAGAGAGTGATGCTGTCCCACGCTCTGTTTTCAACCTGCCTTCTCTGCAGTAAATATAACAATAATAATAATAATCACACTATCAATAAGAGCTATGTATTTTCAATACGCACTAAAAATTATTCTTATACCTCAAACATGTGGATAAAGTGATGCAGATGAAACGAAGTGGTGCTTAATAATGTGGACGAGGAAATAGTGGGGAAAGCCGGTTACAGTGATCGCACGGGGAGGATTGCTCCACATTCAGTAGCTTTCAACTATATGATATAATTGAATGTGAAACTGGTTTATTTATGCGGTAATGGAAGAGGAAAGCTATAGTGAAAGATGATTTTCATGGAGAAAAAAGCAAACCACAGAAGCCAAGCGATAGCTAGAACTTTGAGTCAGCGCTGACGTGCGATTTCGGAATCCTAAATTGTCCCCAATTGTGAATACGATTATACATGCATAGGACGGCTCTAGAGCTAGCACCAGCAGCAATTAGAAGCCGAGCATAAAAGGATCCGCTAGGAAGGATATAGCGTCGTTGGGAGGATCTTATGTAGGGAATCCTACTTAGTCGATGGGAAGGGGCGTATTTGGTCGGTAGAGGTCGTATCTGGCCTCATAGGTGTCTCGCTAAGGAATTTTTTCGACTGCGGTCTTCTCCTTAGTTTTTCCCCTTCACGTGCGCTATCTATATAATTATACATTGTATTTATTTGAGCTATATATACACTTTTCAATTTTGAATTAACGACTTTTCCAACCCAAATACGTTTCTCTGAACGAGTTCGCGATTTTCAACCAAATCACGCACGACTTTTCATACCACTCTCAAGGCTCATTCATGGACTTACTGGGCACCTCTATGCAGCACCCCTTATCCACATCCACCACACTTTTGAATTTTGGTCGCACTTTCTGGGCTCGCATGCTTCATTCCTAAGACTTTTCTTGCTTGTTTTGAGTTCTTCTTTTAAAAGATCTTTAGCCATAGTGTTAGCCTCCATTTGCCGATTTTTGCCAACATTTTCGTACTTTCTCAAGATTTTTGCGCTTGGCCTTATGCGTGTGCTGCCCAGCGACCACCATTGAGAAGCTCCTGCCCCAGCACGAAGCATGCCAGCTCACTTTTAGAAATGTCAAGTCAAGTCGGCACCCGGATAGAGCAAATTCACAATAGCGTCTCGCTTGTCATTCGAGGCACTCGACTATTTTTTTTTTCACTTTTTATACTATTACGCACTTGAATCGGTATTCAATGGTGACAACCCCCCTCTTGCAACGGCGCGAAGCTTTTGGCAAAAAGAAAAATTTTGAGCATGCGGAAAGATGTAAGATTTGTGCAGAATCGGTGTAGGTAGTTGTGGGAGAGAAAGGGTCGATTACACAGGATGATACTTGGGAGGGGGGGAGTCGCATGACAACCGTCACATTCGCGATGCTGTACCCTGCTGTAAGAAGAACAATTCAACTCAGCCTTAGATGAGCACAGTATACTCATATGAGCACTGATGAATACTGGTTGTTTCGTAATGCTGCATGCACATATCTTACTACTCATTGGATCAAACAACATAATTGAGGCATAGTGAAACTAACGCAATATCTGAGACGAAAATGCTATTTGCTGTGGTTGCCACATTTTTTTCAGATTTTGTTTTTGGGAAAACTTTCAAAGATGGCTATATCCGTTCAAATCTCTCACCAAGGAGAAGAAACTGAGAAAATAAAGAGCCCCAGAGATTCCTGCACAGTTGATGAACTGACCTTGTGAAGTCGTCCATAACCGGGTAGACTGTGATATTCTTTGGGAACAGGACGATAGTCTTTAGCACTGGCGGCACTCGTACTGTCCACGCTATCCTGTTTTGCCGCTTTCGTTTTTCGCTTTCGTCGCCATGTGTCCAGATCTTCCTGCCATGATTCGTCATACTTTATTGGACCCTGAAAGTGAAACTTCTTCAGAATTGATTGCCAAGATCGACCCAGTAGATGCTCTGCTGCATTCGGGCGCAGTTTAACATGTCCTGGTCGCGCATAGAGCAGCAAACGAGACGTAGCACGCGCGCCATTCACTCCAAGATCAAACTGGTTAAATGTGGGAATATTGCAAAGTAACAATGCTACAAGCTGGAAAACATCTACTTTACGCACGGGAAGATGCGAAGCCGCTGCCGCAAAAGGAGTATGTCTGAAAGTAGAAAAAAATCAGGGATTCAACGACTACGCGGGCAATTTTTGAGCTTGGTCACCGATCAAATGCCCAAAAAATTATGTGACTACTTCTGGCCTACGGTTTTCTTTAGAAAACCTGAAGTGTTGGATGGTACCTCCACGTTGCGAGGACAAAGCGAAAGCGACGGATTAAGGGCATCGCGTGCGCCTCATTCGCACCAGGACCATTGATCAAACATGGAAGTGCTGCAGCAAGTCTACCCTAGCTAAGAAATACTGTTCAGGTTTTGCGCGTCGTCACAACGTGGATGTAACGTCCCGCACCCAAACTGCCTCGTCTCAGGATATCTCTCAACCGCGGAGCCTCCCATCCCCTTACTTTTTTACTCCTTTTCTTTTCCTTCCTTCCTTTTCTCTTCACTCCGCCTCATTTTTCGCCCTTTAAATGATCGGCCAGAAGATGCAGCCAAAAAATACCTCTGAACCGTCGCAGCGTGGACAGGAGCCCTGTACAGCATCACATTTTCCCCCAACTTTCCTGTCCCTTTTTTCCAAAATTTCCCGAAAACTTTCCTACTTTTTACCTCGGTCACCCTGCTCCTTTAGAGCACCATTTCATTTGGCCGCGAGAATATGAAACAAGTAATCAAAAGCAGTTTCCCACCCCTTGTTGTGTGAGCTTTGCACGTTCTCTCTTCTGTTGCTCAGTGATGTTAATCAGCTGACGGGCACTCTCAGCCAGTGAAACCGCACTCGTCGACACGAACTGTAGAGGGTCATGAGCGGCCTGATTTTTCTATTATTATATTTATATTATTATTTATTTTATTTCTGTTGTTTTTTTTTTTTTTTTTTTTTTTTTTTTTTTTTTTTTTTTCTGTATACGGAAATCACCTCAGGTCGCATATATATGATACCTCTTAATATATACAGGCAAAACTATCAAGAAATAGACGTCAGCTCACACTGACCAGCGCCCTCGTAATAGTCTGTAAAGCGTCGTGTTACGTGTGTTTACAGTGTAGCTAAAATTTCAATACATTAGGCGAAAAGTTAGAAAACCGTCGAACTGGCTCTCAGCAACTGTTCCTTTGTAACTTGAGCTCCCTGTTGGTTTCGGATTGTTACAAGACATCTGTCAACCGGATGCTCTCTCGCTGTGAGGGTCCAGAGGTGTTTTCTTATCGCGTCCGCAGTTCGAACATTTATAGGAAGGAAAACAAGCGAGATATGAAAAAGAACGAAAAAAAAAGAAGGAAGAGATGGAAAAGGAAGTCCCCGTGACAGATATCCCTGAGACCGTTTCGATGGGTAGATTATAGAGAGGTAGAGTCATAGTCAGAGACACAGAGGGCATGCACGAGATGCGTCAAAGAGTTTTTTGGCACGATTTCCGTCATTCTTGCGTTTATCCGTTAACTCTGGCTCGGGCTTATTTGAGTTGCTGAGAAACAAGATGGTCGAAATGAAGAAACTCTGTCCCTCGGAGGGTAGATATGGGAACAAGAGGCATTGGCAAGAAAGGATCACCCGAACAGAATTTATTAAATCGCCACTGCCTCATATCACAAAGCTTAAACTGAAGTCTGGAACTGGTCAGGAAAGTTGCTTAGCGCAGGCACTTATAGCGCGAGGGCCGGGTGTTTTCGCGCTAGCTGACTGTGATACTCATGTAGTACAGAAAGGCAAATAACCGCGATGAGAAACTTCGGTCAAGTCTGAATATCGAAAACTAAGGCAGTAAAGTATAAACAGTAGTGGAGCTTTTTCGCCCTTCAAACAAGCTTCTCCAATCCGCTCGTTTGTTAGGACTTTATTAAGACAGCTCCGATCGCCTCAATAGGCGATTCTTGAGTATAACCAAAACCCTCATGTTCTCAAGCCACCAAGCGAAGGAGTGCGATAGATCAGGACCATTGAAATCGTTTTGACGCGGAAAGATTCCATGGAAATTCGAAAAAGAAAAGGTGATGACAAACAAATAGGAGAGCATCTGGTCAAAACGAGAAAAACACTCCAGTCAACCGGTCCTTTGCGGTATTTTCGGATGAGCTCTCCAAGCTCTTGAAAAAAGCTCACAGCAAATCACAAGGCCATTTCCAACCTCCACTACAAAAAAATGAGTAGGAAGGATCTGAAACTGTCGCCGTTGATCAGTTCCTTGATAAAATCGTAGTGGCTTACTGAATGAGCCATGGCCATTTGAAGCGTTCCTCGGAAGTTGTTGATCCCCTACCCCAGTGAGGGGGGGGGGGTGGTCTCTCAACAATCCACTGTTTAGTTACCCCACGGCTTTGGACTGTCGTGCCGTGACAGGATACAATCTGCTATCAAAAAAATTTTTCTCAAGCTAATGCGACTCTACCGAGGGAACTTTCCAGGCGGTACGAAGGTTACCCCAGCATACAGGGGGTAGACCACTTTAGCGGAAGAGATTACACGCAGCTTAGACGCTTTGGCCACGGGAGATCATGCAGCAGTTTAGCGCGTTAATTTGACCGGACACTCAGTTACTGTGTAAGTCTATGCATTATTTCAAAGATGCAGCACAGCAAAAGTCACGACAGGAGAGTTTCGCAGTAATCATGGTCAGTAATCACCAGCTATCCACGAACGCTTACGTATGGTAGACTAGAGAACTGCTTCAGCTTCTGCTGGAGCTACTACCATACGATGCACCACGCGTAGCTGACAGTTGAAGTGGTAAGTGTATGAATCAATCAAATTATGCCCTATTTACTATTTCAACCGTCTTGCCTTTAAACTCCATTCCAGTGAGGGGAAGCGAGCGGTGGGGGGGGTTATCGTTACACTGAGCTTATGCAGCGTTCCAAATCAGCAAACCAACCCGCAAACCCTTATGTGGAATCAAGCCCGGTCTTGCTAAAAAACGCCCCAAAGGGTACAATTTTGAAGCCAGATTTTCTTCTTATTTTCTCCTTTTCTTTTTATCTATCGCTTCTTTTTGAAGACCTTACTCTCTAAGCTTTTCTTACCCTGTAGCGGAGTCCTGTTCTCGCGATTATGAAGTCATTTTTTGAGATTTTTCGAAAGGGACTGGAACTGGATACCGTAATTTGCCCAATGTCACGTCCCACAGTGCCACGTATCTACCAGGTCCACCTGACCGCCTCTTAGGACCAAAAATAAATTAGCTACGTTTATCGCAAAAGGTATTTTGGAATGGTGAAGCCACTTCACTGATTTGATTGCCCGATCTGGAAGGGTGCCAGTTACTTTTGGGACTGTATACTATACTATACTATACTGTTTTAGGAGCGAGCACTGTTCAAGGCGTACCCCAAGCCGCTCTCCGGGCACCTCGAGCTGAACGTCGGATTTCGTAGCTCTCAACAATGTTTGACTAAGTTAGCCCAATGTCGTGAATGCAATAATAGCGGCGGAATGCGAAGGCCGCTCAACGTCATCCAGCAATTCAGAAATAAAAAGAAAACAAAAGAACGTTGCCGGAACTTTGACAGAACAAATTTGTTATTGATATTGGAGAAAATGGAACAAAGAAAAGAAGAGGAAACTCTGAGAAAAACGGATAATTTGAATAGAAACAGGATTTCTAACGACGACGAAGAATTTTTAGTGATCAAAAACTGGGTTTTGGCCCCCCAAGTGTGACTGCAGGCTTCACTGAGAAAACATGGGGGGTAGTATGGTCGGGTCGCTGTGGATGTGTTGGGGATGTCCCAACCTCTCACCTCATGAAGAGGCTAAGAGTTTTCTTAAGGAAAAGGAACAATAGCCGAAGTGGTCGACTAGGCAAATAGAACGGCGTAGAGGGTAAGGCGATGAGGGAGACCCAGACGGAAGTGAACTGTTTGAGTGGAGTCGAGAGTCATGCGAGACTGGCTGGAGTCGAGCTCCGATTTGGGAGATGAGGATAGGGAAGGATGATGTGAACGGGTAGGAAGGAGAATGACAAAAAGAAAAGAGTTAGAAGGAGAAAAGAGGAATAGATGATGAGAAAGCGAATGCAGCTACACCTCAAAAGAGCAGCTCGTGACATTCGTGGTTATGCAAGTTAAAGCAACTCTCATCACAGTAGTAAAACGTCTCCATAATTGCGATATTAACTCAATTCATTCCTCATGAGTTCTCCCCCTGTTCCGTAAAAGGTTCATTGTGAGTTCTGTTTCAAAAAGTGGAATTTTCCGATTATGACCTGCCACGTGAACAGTGGTGTTTGGCGCAGTTCGGCGACGGGGAAGGGAGGGGAGGGGGAGCAGAGCACATCGTTGTTAAGGAATCCCCAATAGGGGGTCGTATTTGGCCGCCAGGAGAGGGGAGGCTTTCTGGCCTTCTAGGGAGTGGTGGGACTGATGGTTGACTTTTCGTGATTTTCCTGTTTCATGCGTACATGCCCCTCCCTCCCACTCGACAGCAAAATTTTTGGTGAAAAGTAGGGGAAATTTTGGAAAAAAGGGATGTGATGTTGGGAAAACTGAAAACCGTTGGGGGGGGGGGGGGGGGCTCGTGACCAACTAAAAAAAAGGGGAGGGTTGTACCAAAGACATCGACTGAAATCCCAACCAATGATGTGCCCTGAGGGGGAGGCATTTTGCACTTTCGCTGCTTTATAGCTCCGATTTACAAGTCTCACTCCGGTGAAACCTGTGAACTCTGTAAAGCTGGAGGGCAAGCTCGTCTAGCCACCATGGTCAAACCTGTCAGCTCAAGAAACGGCTCTCTAAATGGGTTTATATGTCGATGGGAAATAACAAAAGTGCCCCTCCCCAGTCACCAACCCCCTAAAATCCTTTCTTAGGAAGCCGTCGGACATTAACTGGATCATTGCTGATTGGGTAACAAAGTAAAATGCGGATAAAGGTTGGGAGTACAACAGTTTGATAAATTCATGAAAAGCATGAAGCATTCCATGTCGATCAATCCTTTCTAGGATGCGCCATGCACTCTACTTCCACTCGCAATCGCATTACTACTTGAAAGCAGCCGACCTGCCATATAATTTCTGGTAATTGCCTGCCATACAAGTAACAGTGTCCAACTTATCTCTTCGTAAAACCTCGGCACTGTTGTGGACGCTGATATTCTTCTTTTTCTATAGTGCCAGCGAGATTATTAGGTGGAACTATTCAATAAATAGTTGCAGCTAACAAGCTCGTTAGCACAATAGAAAAGAAAATACAAGTAAGTGACTTTGTCCTTCCAGACTATTCTGTACCAGTTGATGAGGGTAAATGGTATGATAATGATAAGCAATGAACCCCAAAGAGATGCAGGCTTGCTGGCTCGGGTGTGAGTCTATCCAAGGTATGACCCCAGGACCACGCCTATAAAACCCCAACGCAATTTACTATCTGCATGTGAGGTAACCTTTTTTCCATATTAGGCAAAAATGAGTGTGAGCGGCTCGTTCCTCATGGAATCTGCTTTTGTTCAGAAATTCGGAATATCTTAGGGAAAAAGTGAAGAAATTCTCAAAAAATCACATTTAAAAGTGCAGGCTGCGAGACTTGGCAAAGTGCCAAAAGCCCCGCGCGCGACATTCGTGACGGTGTAGAAACACATGCGACCAGGACATGTCAGCGGCGTAGTTGGCTGTGCAGCGTGTCTGCCAATGCCACGAAACCGCAGTATGGAGGAATCAGCCTATCCCACTACCCTGGAACTTCAAACCGGGCATGTTTGGGCTAGGAAAGGACCAGATGGGGGCCTGTTAACCCTGCACACGCAAGGATACACCTCGCAGGTGAGCGTACATTCTGTTCTCAACAAAAACTGTGGAATGACACACCTGTCTCGTCGACGAGCTCCATCGTGGCTGAGATCGGCTAGGTACTTCGTGACCTGAAAGACACGTAATACACTAAATATTAAGAACGATTATGATTTCGTTTAGCTGGTGACACATAGAAGCCGAAAAAAATAAG